TTAACCTTTAGGAGGGAACACATTCACACCTTATGACTTCTACCAAGCTCCCAAACACAAGACTTCCATAAAAGAATGTTATACCAATTTCTGCTGCATTTTCAACATGGAAGTTAAATAAAAATCAAACTAAGAAACTCAGAGCAATATTATCCACCTTAGACCTGGAAAGGACCTCCATTTATTAAAAAACAGCTTTAGAAGTTCAAAAGAACTGGGACCAAACACAAACTATGTAGCCATTACAGTTTCTGTTCTCAGAGGTACAAACAATGAAGTGTTGTCCATAAAAAAAATTCTAGTTCTGAGCATAATCACCTCTAAAGTGCTTTGTGTCCCAATTAAAAGTGCCAAAGTCCACCACAAATAATATCTGACAACATTTGGGAAAGGCAGTTTGGGTGCTGAAGATGTTCAGGAGGATTTAGCGTGTGCTTTAGCCCTGGAAGTCGCTAGGTTTCCCTTCTCAGCAGTGTCGATAAGCTGTCATTGCAGACATGAAGGATGTCAAAAGGGAAATCAAAAGCCCAGTCCTCACAACTCTAAGATCACTCACTATACATTGGGTACTTTGCAGAAGATGAACAGAATGCTGTTTTTGAAAGCTCTCACTGAGTGCAGCCCATTTTTCTGAATTCCAAGACCAGCCCACCTCAGTTTCTCCTGAGGGCTTTCCATCCTGGTGCCTACAAAGCCCTGATGAGGAGATTTTGATCTGCCAGTGCCAGGCTGCAATTAGGCATGTTTGCAGAGACTGAAAGCAGGTGATGCACAGTATGACCTGAGCCCCTGGGAAATCAGGCCTCATTATTTTCATGCCATGCCTTGTGCAGGCCTGCCCCATGCTGCAAAATATTCAACTGCAGAAATCACAGGAAGAGAAATAAAACCCGCCCCACAGTGGAAAACAGATTATACATTCTGATATCCTGCCACAGATGAGAAAGGAACTCTTCTGGTGATGCTTCATGTACTTTACAAAATGCTGAGACACGTGGTACTTCCATTCACAACCCATGAATGCATCCTCCCAGCAGGCATAACCAATATTGGGGGAAAAAATCCCAGCATTTAGCATCTGCACAAAAACTTCTCATCTATTTACAAGATTTAAAAAGCAACTGAAGATTTTCCAAGATCCAAGAGTCATGGCAACAGAATCAAAGCAGAATCACATTTTGTTCATAAATGCAGAAGTGCAGGCAAGACTTTGGATCTAATAATATCTAAACAGAATGAACAAATAAGAAACTGTCAAAAGGGACTAAAACAGAAGCAGACTTAGAAAAATCCAGGACAAATCTTGAGGAGGCAAATTTAAGCCAAAGGGTTTTCACTGCAACTCTAGAAAAAGCACTCAGTGCAAGAGAATTAAAGTCTTCCAACAACAAAAACTCCAACACTATAGAGAAGTCACAAGTGTGAACTAATAACTGATGAAAATTAGAATAAAAAGTACAGAAAAGCAACATCTAATAATGAAAATATGAATTCAGAGACCAGTTATTTAAACCTTTACTACTATTAATTCAATGTATGGTTCCTGAACATTTTCTTCCATCTTATTCAGGTACTTAAATAAAAAGCATCTGCAAGAATTTTCTGTGACAGCTTAGACAAACAAGACTGTTTGTATGATTATTTAGTCATCTCTAACACCATATAAATTCATCCTGACAGGCTCTGCAGATTTATACCAGGGATCATATGCATTATATTTTTAGTCCTAATTTTCCATATCTCTCCCTTCTGAATTTTCCATTCCATTGCCCATCTCAGAACAAGCAAGAAACAGGAGGAGAGAAAACAACAGTACAAGGTGGCAGGTTTATAAAACTGGACACTCACTAAACTAGAAAGAACAGGATATAATGCTGACCTGTACAAGGATTCAATCCATTCCCCTTTGGACAGTTCTGCCCCTTGTCCTTGGCCCCAAACAGACCCGTGGCTTTCCTTGCTGCCACACAGGGCTGCTCACAGCCCTAGATTATGTTTTCTATGAGTCAAGAAAATTATCTAAGCTATTTTAAGAATGTTAAGGCTGGAGGATTAAACACTCCAAAGCACCAAGAAGTGACAAGCTAAGAATCTATCTCCTATATTGCTCCTTTGTTGAGATTATTTATTACAAAGCTCTTATTTCACCATTATGTTTTCCAAACCAGAAATATTCTCTTTCTTGATGATAACAAAGTGTATTTTGAGTAAAACAAACAAGACTGGAGTACTCAGACCTTTTAACATAACAGTTCTAGTTATACTATTACAATTTGTGCTTCCAGATGCATTTTTCCCCTCACACTGTATTTTTCACATAGACTTTCACTTGTCTGGATGAAAAAGTCTCAAGTCAGAAACTACAGTAATATGTCCATATTCAGCCAAACAAAATCCAATTATTTTGTTCAGGCTTTTGAATAAAGTACACCATTTTCCAATAATTAGATTCTCTGAAGTAATCCAGTATCTCAAAGGAATAAGGTAACAAAATATCTATCCTTTTTTATCCCTTATTCCATTACAATGTCAAACTATTATTTAGATTCTCATTCTCAAAGACTTCCAAAACCACTTTATTTGGGGAAAAAAATTTAAATGATCAGATGTTAGCTTGAGTACTATATCCCTAGCATACAGTTTCCATTAAAATGCCGTTCAGCATTGGAAACAAATTGTGTTTTGCCAGAAATATGTCCAATAGCCGCAATTATCTTTGAGGCATAGACTTCCTACCTTTTGATGTGTGACCCTTGAATTCAGATTGCATGAAAAGATCAACAGTAGCTTTTCTGAAAAGCACAGGCCATGGATGTCCTTGAGTTAACTCCTACCTGCATGAAATAATCTTTGCAGAAAGCTGCAGAGCTTTTTATTGAAACATTTCTCCAACATAGATAATCCACCCCAGACCACACACGGTCAGACATGTGTCCTGTTCCTCTGGGTTGGATTCACCCAGCTGCAGCTCCCAGCTACCACACTTTATTTCAAACTTGCCTGCTGACTACAGCTCATCACCCTCATTTCTGTGACTGATCAAGAAGTCATTCTTTTACCTTTGGGCTCCTCCCTGTCTCAGAAGATACTCAGTAGCTTCTGGACCTTCAGGGAAGCTGTTGATTAGAGGCAATTCTCAACTGCTGACACCAGACTTGCAGTAACTCCACTGCCCACATGTTGCTGGAGATTTGTGATCCGCGCTCTCCCTGCCGTGGAAGCGCCATGTCCTTGACAGGTGACAAACACGGCCATGTCCTTGACAGGTGACAAACACGGCCATGTCCTTGACAGGTGACAAACACGGCCATGTCCTTGACAGGATTCAAGCCAGGCCTGTGTCCTTGGCTCCCTGCTGATTGGGTCACACAGAGCACCTGGGGGTTTGCAGTGTCAGACCCCTCAGACCTCGCTGCCCCTTTCAGTTCCCATCAGCCCCATCACAGCTCGTCTGTCCCAGAACAGCTTCAGGTTCTGTTCCAGATCCCTGGTCACCACCTGGACGGGGCCCAGCAGGAACCGTGGGGCACTGCCCAGCCCTCCCTCCACACAAAGCCCATGCCACCCACCCTGCTCACTGCCGAGGCTGTGCCACCCTGCAATCCTAAAAACAGAGCTGCAGCAGCCACCCCCAGGCACCAGCACCTGAATAAAAACATCAGCTGCAGAAAGCTACACTCCTCAAACCTACCCAAAAACATCAGCTGCAGAAAGCTACACTCCTCAAACCTTCCCTGAACAAAATCATCAGCTGCTTAAAGCTACACCCCACAAACCTACCCTGAATAAAAATATCAGCTGCTTAAAGCTACACTCCTCAAACCTACCCAAAAACATCAGCTGCATAAAGGTACACTCCTCAAACCTACCCTGAATAAAAATATCAGCTGCATAAAGCTACACCCCACAAACCTACCCTGAGTAAAAAAATCAGGTGTATAAAGCTACACCCCACAAACCTACCCTGACCTGAAGCACCAGCCACCCTCCTCGGGTCTGCCTTAACCACTCCATTATTCACAGCATAGGCCTCTAATTACATGGGTCTCCCTGTGAGCCTTTTAATTACTGCTGCATTCTTTTGTCCTGCCCTCTTGAATTTCTCACAACCATTCAAGAATTAATGGCAGGAAAATAACCCACAGTATTAATTGCCTAGAGAATACTTTGGACAACACTTGGGTCCAGTTTATCTGCATCTTTACAAGTAAAATGTGAAATGAGTTGCTGGTATTGAATATGCTCCTTAGCTCTTTCCCTATCATCTTGCCAGTAGGAAAGCTTGAATAACTAACAATTTTAGCTCGTTTACAGAGACATTTCAGTTATATTTAGCACTTCTAAAAGGGCAAAGTACTTGAAAGATACACACTTATTTGGATGCTTAAATATCTTTCCAGCAATATGTTTCTTCTCATGCATTTGCAAGGTGACTAACTGCTTTGCTTAGTTCATTTTTGAACACTGTACACTGGAAAAACACTAATTAATTTCATCATTTTGTCAAATCAAGAAGCATTTAAAAAAAACATTCTTACTGTGAGGGATGCAGGCAAAAGCAAGATATGACACAGAGCTTAACAAAGAAAGTGCTACAGAGAGTGATACTGGCATGCAAGCAGCTATTAGTTCTCACCATGGACTGGTTGCACATATTTTTAGGGATGTAATTCCTAGCAAGCACCCCCAAAAAATTCATAAATTCATATATTTAATCACTCAACAGGTGTTTTGATATGCACACAAGGCATTTAGGTTTGCCTTTTTTTTTGTTTTGTTTTTTAAGGACTAAAATGCAACCCATGGCAAAACAAATCTAAGCACAGATTGGGGAAGCTGACAAATCAGGTCAGAAAACACCTTTAAAAATAATTAAGAAGCATTCTTTGAAGAAGAATTACAACGTTTATGACAGGACTTGCCACAACCAGATACAGTAGCCTTTAGGATGGACTTTGAGTGTAGTTTTTGAGATGCAATAGATGGGACACAGCACCTACCTTGAATGTTTACAAAGTTTACGAGGTCTATTATGCAATTTCCGATCCCAATTCTCTGGATCACTGGAGTTACTGTCATAAGGATGAGGCCGTCCTGCCATTCCACTGCCAGCTTCCTCACACTACTGCTCTGAAAAGCACACATGCAGCACTCACAACCTACATTAAGAAAGCAGTGTTTACCTTTAAGTAATGCCACACAGGAAAAAAAAGTCAGACATGCAGAATTTAGTGCTGTTAGGTTTTGATTTTGTAAATGCAGATTACAGAAAAACAGGATACGCTGAAGCAGAAATTGCGTGACAATAATATTTTACACGTTTTGCTGATACCTGCACTAAAAAGAGTATTTTGTTATAAAAAAATATAGTTCTATAAATGCTGGCAGGCAAATTCAATTTTGCAACAATTAAATTCACTGTGTCCAAACAGAAAAGTCACCGGTTATAAAACACAAGACAAACATCATGACTTTCTTTCAAATGTATAAAGTTAATTCAAAGGAGGATCCCAAGTGGAGAACAGAGACCAACAGTTTTACAATTTGAATGGCTGACCAAGAGGAAAACAGAATTAACACTTACATCTGAGTCCTCACTACAAAATGGAATTAACAGCAATCCTTAGAGACACTCGGTGTGGTCCAGTTTCACTGACTTTTGCAGAGAAGTCACAAAAACTTAATACAAATAGATATAATAACCACCCTTCCTCAAGTGGGGTCTGATGTTATGTTCAACTCCCTTCAGAATTCTCTCCTAGCTCAAACCACCCTGTGACTGTCAGCAGAGACAGCCAATCTCCACAGACTGGTGTTCAATCATAGCTCCAAGCGACACTTGTGGCAACAGAGCTGGAGAATTCAGAACGACCTGCTTACAAAAACTATAAAGCAGCCACAAGTGAGCAGCTGGCGATTGCATAACATCTGGAAAAAAAATGAATTACAGATAGATAAACCCTCCTAGTAATGGGAAGTCTATTACGTTTCTTTACAATTTTAAGCTACATATTGTAGAAACATTGTCTCTCTACCTCACCCCACCCTTACAGACTTGTATTACAGTCAATAAAACTTCTCCCACGTGGAAGAGAGTCCCAAAGCAACTGAGATCTCTTTAAAACAAAGTTACTTCTCAAATAAACTGTCCTTTAAGTCATGGAAAATGAAATAGCTCTCCTGGCAAATATAGATTCTCCTAGCTAAATTTAGACCCAAAAGTTTTTATTACAGGGGAAGAAGAGAACAAGCTTCTTAAAAATGTTGGTTGAATCCAAGTTTTGCCTTCATGCTCAGTTTTACCCAAGCAAACAGGTTTAATACAAAGTATACAGTCTCCACCACAGGGTTGGGTCTTTTTCCTGTTACAGCTTCTATAATTAAATGCACTTTGATGGGAAGACTCCTATGGTCAGGTGTCCATATAGAGTCAGGAAGAGGAAAAAACATTTTATTTAAAATTACAGGAAATACTCAACTTTCTCATTAAAAAAAAAGTAAAATCCTGATAAGCATTTCATTGTGTATTACCTGGAAAGTCAAGTTAGCAAAGCACAGTCAATATGTGAGGATATTACAGAGAGAAGGTTGTAGGATCTGCACACATTTATCGGGAGAAACAAGGAGAAACCTACAACCTGTGTCAGAACAGAAGAAGTGTTATTAAGGAGACCAGGGGAAGGGAGGCTGCTTTCTAAACCCAGGAGCTGTGCTTCCCAGCTGGGGTGCAACACCAGGCACAGGAGCCCGGGGAGAATAAAGACACTTTGTATCCTGAGCTGAAACAAAGTGTGTTCATTAGCTGGGGCCTCTGCGGGCAGGTACACAGCGAGCCCGGCTGCCCATGGCAACAGCAGCCCGCGCACACCGAGCCAGGAGCAGCAATGAACGGCAGGGACAGCCCGGCTCCCGCTGCGCCATCGCCCACCTCCGCCGGCCCTGCTCCCACTCCAGCCTTCGCCACAGCACCACTGCAGCGCGTGGAGCATCCCACGCTCCTTCACAAGCTTTCCTTTCTTTCCACAAACCCTCTCTTCCCTTTCAAACCATGCGAGAGCTTTAGAGACACCTCACCCTCTCAGGTACACACCAAAGAGGCACCCAGCACCCAGTTCTGATTCTCTGCATAGAGGCCAATGTTTGAATTTAGCTTTTGTACTCGGAAGATGTGCAAAAGCAGCTGTTTTTATGAGAACTGCAGCTGAAAGGCCAATTTAAAGCTACTTCCTTAAATTGTCTCACACTCTCTGCCTTGTCCCCTTCTTTCTTACAACGAAAGTTCAACAGGAAGATGCAGGTCCACACACACTTCAAGGCAAAAGCCTGTTCAGAGCAGGATCAGCTCCTCCACGCGCTCTGCAGCTCCTCGCTGAAGCCCTCACAAACAAGAGATGCCAGACAGAAACAAACAGATGGAACTGCTTCCCAGGAACAGCAGCACTCCCAGCACACAGGGAACCCCAGCAGTGCCACTGATGAAGTGCCAGGCTGGCACCCAGCTCAGAACCAGGGCACACTAATGGAAAGAAGGGAAACAATCCCAAGTGTCCAAAGCTACAGCTCGTGAAACTTCTTGTCTAGCTCCAAGCATGTCACACTATGAACATGTTCCCTCCATCCTCCACTCCAAGGCCCTCAGCAAATTAACACTACTATAAAAAACAATTTGCTGTAACACAGCCAATTTTTTCTCCTTGGCCGCTGCTGATAGTGCTTTTGTGCAGATTATAAATAAATGTACTTCTCAATTTTAAGTTTAACAAACCTTTAGACTAAAGACTATAAGCAAAGAACTCTTTTGTTTTGCTCTGTTGAAAAGAGTTTCTTTTTCCAATTAGAAAATGCTGTATAAACTCGGAAGTAACTAACCAGTCATCCTGATTAATATTTAAACACTTCTGCAAACCCACTTTTTCCTGCAGCAAAAAATAATGTTTCAGCTGTGGTTTGTTTTTTGGGGGTTTTTGGCATGGATTCACAAGGCAGGCAATAAACAAAGCATGTTTTGAGGAACATTCTGACCTTGTGTACAAGAAAAATCCAAAAACAATCCCTGCAAGAGTACCTGGCCCCAAATACTATTTTAAACCTTCCATGAAAACAAGGAGCCACATCTGAAATGCTGGTGAAGGTGAAAAGGCACTGGGAGCACATGAAATAAAGAATCAAATCCAAATACCCTCAGCAGATCACACAACACTGGCCTACTGGCCAAAGTGGCTGGCTAATTCTGATTAGCTAATTAGCAATTCTCCAGGTGTAAAGAATGATTTCATACCCTTCTGCAGAAAGCAAATACTCCAGAGAATCATCACAGGGAATAATAGGAAATCAGGAAGCAGACTTGAATTTTCAAAGCTTTCAGCACAGACAGCTAGAACACTTCAGATTTACTAACATCAACTTGAAGCCAGAATCATCACTAATTTATGAACGTTGCAGGCTACTGAAATACGAGGGAATTGTAAAGACTCAGTGGGTTTGACAAGTGAAAGGTCAATGTGGTAGAGCCACCCCAGACATTGCAAAGTACACTAATTAAGGTGTTTACAGCACTACTTAAGGAGCTCATGAAAGGATGGGTCATACACTAATTTGTGATAGATGTTGGACAGATTATTTTTAATAATACTTAGAACATATTCAGTTCTGTGCCATCACCAGATAGAATGCACAAAGGCTGCTGAGCAGATCAAGCGAGATTCAGCCACCAGGTGCTGGACAGAAGTGGACATGCACTTCTGAGAGATGCAGGACTTGCATTTTTCAAGGCACTGCAGGCCAGGAGGGGGTAGAGAATGCTCTCTGGAAATCTTTCAGCAAAGAGGTAAAGCTAATCAAAACCAACATCAATGCATTTCCAGCCAGCCAGTCACTCTGTAATTGCTGAGAATACCTGTAGGCTGCAAAAATCTGGAGTCTTACTAAAAATGATGATTACAGTACCCTGCAATTTTGAGGCAGAGAGCCAAGATGTCTTCTGGCCACCAGCTCATCAGGTAGAACAAAGATCTGATGGCTCCTGCTGTCAGTACTGAGGAAAACATTCAAATAACTACCATGCAATCTACCAAACTACCAATAACTACCAAATAACTACTTCAGGCATCTACTCAGCTCTGAGCTTTGGTCAGAAGCATTTCCAAAAGCAGGACAGGTTTCAGAAGTTCCTCTGCTCTAACCTGCACCCTGGAAAGGAGACCCAGGATAATCAGGAAGCTCCAACACACAAGTCACCAGCAAGGACAAAACTTGGCATTAGTTGTGACAAAGAAACTTCAAGGCTCAGATTAAATATTTAGATTTTCTGTAAGGGGTGACAGTCTGCTGTTCACTGCCTCTACTCATCAAAGCACAAAAGCAGCAGCAACAAAAAGGAACTTCCAAGTCAGATTTACTGGGAATGCAAGCACGGTGACATTACATCCTAATTAAGAAATCCAGTTCAAAGGACACATGCTCATAATGCAAACACCACATACCATGGAAATCCATACCTGTCAAGTGAGTTTCTTGCAAACTAGTGCAGGCATCAGTCACAATTCAGCCACATAAAATAGCTTTATAAATCATCATCACTGAAATGTTATCAAACTGACACTGATTAAAGCACAGCTCAGAGACATCCTTTGCAATACATTAACACAGGCTCAACATTAACACAGCACATCAGGATTGAAGCTCCTCTTAATGAGCAAGTGGGGAGAAAAAAAAAGGAAAACAAAAAACACCTGAGCAGTCACAGGAAGGTGGTGGTATTCCTATCTACAGCAGCATAAACAACAGATATCTAGTGACCAGCCTGCAAGCTTTAACTTTTTAATTCCTGAGGGGAACAGGATGACAGAACAGCTGTTTGGCACTGGAAGCCCAAAGAGCAAGAGGCAGATGACTGCCAGCTCCCCCTCTGTACTGGGCTCATTGTGGGAAACCTGCCCAGCTCCACCTGTACAAAGCCCAGTGGATGGAGCAGCTCCTCCCTCCCAGAGCAGAATCATGGCTCTCAGGGCAGCAAAAGGAGCAGAACCCAACTCCTTGCACTGCCACTGGCCTCACCAACACAGGCAGGCACAGGGCTCCATCACACCTGGCACCAGGGATGAGATGCAGGGCACCAGAGCAGCAACCACATTTCCTGAAGGAACAAGCAAGGTCTGCACCCAGCAGAGACAATACATCTCAGCGAGCAAGAAAATTCATCCACACAGTTTTTCACAGCTGAAATGAAGTCTAAATTAGCTTTTATAGGTATTTTAAAGAGATACATACTTTCATGGATAAGCAAGGTTGCTAAAGGAAAGCTGTGCTGAAAGGAACTGGCACAGAGGGAGGCTCTGATCTTTGTGTATGAATACAGGACAAAGCAGCCCCAGCCTGAAGCACACAAGCTGCAAAAACACACAGATTATAACAAAGTGACAGAAAACCCAACAGTGATGACATCTGTTACTAATTTAACACACAATGTCATCCACACATCAGCTGTTCACCATTTTCAAATGCAATTGTGCCTAAAAGGAAAAGTGGGCTTTAAGAAGGAATTTAATGTGGGATGTGAAAGCTGCTTTAGTTTGCCGTCTTTCTTAACCCCCGGGTTCCCTGGCATTAACACACAAACACAAACATGCTGGAAACACTTCCCAGAGCAGCCTCACACAGCACCATCTGCACAGAGGGCAATGACAAGCACAGGCAGGATGCATGATGAGGTTTGGAGACAGAAATGGTACAAATCCAGGGGTAATACTCAAAAGGCTTTTGGCAATCTGCGTATTAATAGGAAAAGAAAATAAAATCTCTGATGTTTTGCAAGAGACTCAGTCCAAGACACACTGACAGACCTGCCAAACACAGTGCAACAGTCTTCCCTAACCACAGGGCAATGGATAAGAAAAAAGGAAAAGAAAAATCATCCAGTTCCTTTTGACTGTACTTGTGTTCAAGCTATAGAAATTCCAGGCATCCAACACCAGATGATGCAGAGACACGTGTTTCAGCTCAGAGAAAAGATAACAAGTATGCACCACCAGGTTATGAACTCTCAATAGCGAGGCTGATAATTTGAATTGCTTCTCTGGGACACTGGGGTTCTCTGGCAAACCTAGCAGGAAAAGAAAGTATCTTCCAGGGAAAGGATCAACAAAGGTGAGGCAACAACAGAGCTAAGTGCTCTTTAAATGAATCACTGAAGGTGATCCGTGAAGAATACAGGCAAATAGAAGTAAGGAGAACAGTGTCAACAGTCAAAAGGCTACTGAGAAGCCAGATTTTAAGCATGTGTTCGAATTTGTAAGAGGCAGCCAACAATAAAGAACAAAAGGACACAAGGCTCAACCACTCCTTTGGACAAAGAAGCCAGACAAGTGACAGGAACAAACCTGGGAGAGGTCTGTGATGAGCTCGATCCAAATTCTGAAAGAAAAGGGTTCTAAAGTGACACATTGGATGGGACCAGAGATGAAGAGGAAAAAGATGCAGACATGGTAGCTACAGACAAAAGTGAACGTAAAGAAAAACAACTTATGACAGGCAACTGCAACAAGTAATTGTACTTTGACAGATTTATCATATAAACAGCTGATATTTTCTACGAATAAAATATGGTGACACAGAAAAAGAATCATAAAGATACTGGACTCATGATGAAATCGTTTGAGAGGGTAAATGACTGCTCAGGAATTACACGACGGCTGTCAGGCACCACCACTGTCTCTGCACAGGCCTCAAAGCGACTGCAGGTGCTACCGATAAACAACACAAGATGAAAACCGGGGATTTCAGCCGTGCCCAGCCTGCTCACGACACAGAGCAGCCGAGGCACGGGGCCGATCTGTCTGCGGGGCTCTGGGGTGCAAACCCCGCGGCGCGGCCGCCGGCAGCAGCCGGGAGCTGCCGGAGCCCCCTCCTCAGGAGACACCGCCGACCCACCTGGACGCGCCACCTGCTCCGCGGGGCTCGCACTGCGGGATCTCCGGCGATCCCAAAGGCTCTGCAGCAGGGGAAGCGGCGCCGGTCCGGCCGGCGGGAGCCCCGGGATGCCGGGCTGAAGGAGGCTGAAGGAGGCTGAAGGGTGCCGAAGGCCTGCCAGCCGCGCCCGCCCGCCCGCACTCACCGGCTCCGGCGCGGCCGCCTCCCGCCGCCGCTCCGCCAGGCCCGGCACCGCCGCCAGCTCTCGCGAGAGCCGCCCCCGCGCCGCGGAGGAGGCGGTGGCAGCGCCCGCATCTCGCGAGACTCGCGGGGCGGGGCGGGGCGCGCGCGGGACGCCGTTGCCAGGGAGCTGCCGGGGGCTCCGTGAGGGGCCGTGGCCGCGCTGGGGAGGGGGGTGAGAAACCTGCAGCCTGTGAATAAAAACCCAGCGGAAAAATACCGTGGGGAGTGAAATGAATTAACAAAACCGAAATCGCGACAAGTCGCGTAGAAAAGAGCTACATCCCCCGCACAACCGTCCGCCGAGAGAGGGGCCGGGGCGGTGCTGGAGAGCGAGCGCCGCCCGACGGCCGTGGGGAACGGCGGGGCGGGGAGCCGAGATCCCTCTTGAGAAGCCGGGATCTCCCCTGTGGAGCCGGCATTCCTCTTGAGGAGCCGGGATCCCTCCTGAGGAGCCGGCATTTCTCTTGAGGAGCCGGCATCTCTCCTCTGAGGAGCCGGGATCTCCTCTGAAAAGCCGGGCTCCCCCTGAAGAGCCGGGATCTCCTCTGTGGAGCCGGCATCTCCCCTGAAGAGCAGCGCTGAGGGGATAATGGCGGGCCAGCTGCCAAATAATACAGTTTATATCTTGGTGAGCTGGCGTCTCTGATATCTCAATTTTCATGCAAAAACTGATTCCAGATTTTAGTTACAGCTCTATGTTTGTACAGCCCTAGAGGAAACACAGAGCCTGTGTAATCTGCAGACTGTTTAGGAATACAATTAGTAGACGTGGCTGTCATTCCATAAGACCCCAGTAGAACTATCCTGTCCTGCAGTTCAAGCAGCCTCAATGAAGTGTTACAGATGGCACTAAACCCTTCCCACCCCTCATGGCGCAGAGGAGGCAGAATAACCCAATACTGAGCAATACTCAATACCGAGCCCCAGATAGATTCAAATCTAAAGAAAACATTTGTCTTTTTTCTAAAATATTCTCTGATGCATTGTTATTAAATACAAGCAGGTTTGACTTCCATACCAGGGGAAAGGACTTTAGAAATCCTCGTGCAGAATTGGAGACAGGAGGGGAAGAGGGGACAAGAGAGCAAGGACTTGTGCCGTATCCAAACACCCCATAAAGGATGGCAGCTTTGCTACAACAGACAGCAAACCACGAATCTGTTGAATGAATTCTCTTTTCTGTCCTTTAACAATGGCCAGAGAGACAAACCACCCAGTTCTAGAAAGCCAGCAGCAGAACAATGAGGGGCAAGCAGCTGGCACAAAAGCTGTCAGAATGTGCAAACAAGGCAAGGAGTCAGATGCCACATGCCCGGTGGTGAATAAGCAACACCAAACACAAGCATTTACAGCAGGCACGGTCAGGAGCATCTTGAAAAGCCAAATCAGTCAAATAGCCAGCAGGAGGTTTTACCTACAGATCTCACAGTCTCTCTTGTTTCTGTTTGACTTCTTGTGATTTTGGCCTTGCTAAACTTTCATGAGCTTGTTGGGGTTTTTTTCTGTGTGCTACTGTTTAGTTTCCCCAGTGGATCAATACTGATATTGCTGGGTTTTTTTCAATGAGGCAGCAGTGAGAGACCAGACTGAGAATTCTATAAAAAACAGGTGTGTACAGTCAGTATGTATCTGCACAGGATAGGCCAAAAAAGCCCTTTGGCAGATTACAAAGCAAGGTGATCCTTCCCCTCTCTCAAGCCCAGCGAAGCCTCATCTGGACTGGTTATTTGATATACCTTTATCATGCCTCTTTTATTTCTTTTCTGACTGCTGTTACAATTTATTATGATGAGATTTATATAAGTGCTTCAGTGGCCCTATAATTTCTCACCATCCTATTTCTGGTCCCCTCAGTCTATGAAAGAGAGACGACCAAAACTGCACATTTGTCCAGGTGAAGATGAATCTTCGCATTTTTTGGTATTAAAATGTTTTTGATAACATCCTCTGCCCCACACTGGACCTTTTGCTGCTGCAACTGCTGCCACACTGATCAGAAGTTTAAGCTGAAAATCCATAACAAATCTACTCTCTAGATAATTAGTAAGTAATTATATTAATATTACATCTTCTTTTTAATGGGCATTACCTAGCACTAATTAATCTGCCAGTATGTTGTCTCTAGTCCTGAAAAGTCATACTGTAAGTGTACAGAAAGTTTAAATATTTCTGTAATCAGCATTCATCTATTGGGTAGCTGAAGATTAGGAGGAATTGTGGTTTGGAGGATAGAATTTTTTTCTTTTAGATCAAAATGAAACAGGTTATGATTTTTGCACTTGAAGACTATATAGTTTATGCATGTGTCATTATTGCAAGGGGACATCAATGGGTTTGTGCTAGATAAACACTTTTCATTTAACCACCATTGTGGTTTTGTATGCAGGAAGAATGGAAGAGAAAAATAAAAATTACTCTCATCATTACTTTTGTCCTTATTTTGCTGTCATAAAATTAAATGGCTTCATAGTCTTACCCCAAATTGTAAATTATATCAAAACAGTCACAGGCCAGTCAGTTCTTATGCTTTAAAATAATGTCCACGAGCTTTTGGTCCACTTTATTTGGTAATATAGAAGTGAGACATAGGTACAAAAATGCAATTTTATTTACGGAAGTTAGCACAGATGCCTGATTAAAGAATAAATAGAAAGTGCACCTTAAGGCCTCGATCCTACAAGCAGACAGTTGGCACAGAGCCCTTGTACCTCTGCTCCCAGCATCAGGGCCTTTGCATTGCTGCAAGGATGGCCAAGAGGATGGGCCAGGTCTCTGCTTACAAACACATCCCCAGGTTGCATCTACATTTGTGGGGAGTTAGGAGGGCTTTGTGAGGCTCCCCAAGGCGTGCCAGACATCAAACAAACAAATAAGAGCCAGCCTGGGAACATCCACTTGGGCTTAGAGCAGCAATTCCTCTGGGTCTGAGCTCTGCCAGTGGCAAACGTAGAGGCACCCACCAGCATTCCTGCTGGGAATTCCTTCTTATTCATCTGATATGGCTGGGGCTCCTGAGCACATGTGTGAACACACCATGCAAAGTCATTTTGTGTTTGCTGCTTTGCCATAATTGATTTTTCCCTATACAATTCTTTCTGAGTCCTGCTTGGAGTTTGAATGTATGGCAGCTAATGGTTCCTCTCCAAGGTTGATTTCTGCATGTTAATGGGTCTCCTTCTGAGGTCTGGAAAACTGAGATCCCAATTCTACAATAAATTGGTTAGGGAAATGAGTAATTTTATTCATGAGAACCACTGGTCTCACAAATAAATTACACATGAGGCCTAGCACAACATGCAGAAGTTCAAAGACAGGTAGTTTATAGAGAGAATGAGGGACAAAAAGTATATATCACAAGATTTTTGTTTCAGTTGTAATTGTCTGGTGTAGAATCCTTTCCCAGTTCTATAGTTAGGGCCAGACTTACAGATGTGCTACCATCTCTGCTCCCACTGTTTCTGCAGTTAATTATAGGGTTTCATCTTTTGGAGGAGGGGAAGGTAATCAAACCTTCCCTTTGTTTCTGTATTTTGCAAAGTTCTTCAGAATTTGTTTTAATTTTATCCCTTTGTACTTTAATCTTAAGCTTTGCCTTCCTATCCTATTTCTTTTCTGTTTGCAGTCTTTAATCCTAAATTATTATCATGCAGCTTTTGGTATGTAATTAATGTTCATCTGATTTTAGGCCTTCTTCTGAAAATAGATGTGGGTTTAATTTATGTATTTCCATTAGTACAAAGTTAAACAAAGTTTAACCCTAGGCCCTTTTCTGGAGGCAGGCTCCCCTGCATTTATTCCTTCCTGGTTAACAGTACAAGCAGGCCTGGTGATTACACACAAATGCTGCCCATGTAAGGGTTGTAGAACTGGTCTCAAATGGTTTTCCAGCTTTCTTACTGATTTGGGTTTCTTTTTCCTTTTATGCTGGCAATTTACAAAATACATCAGCCAAAATGTACCCAGCAGTGGTCCTGGGTAGCCTGTAAATACATTTTATTATTTGGTTGTGAAATGTCTCACTCAGCGGGGCTACAGCCTCGAGCAGAGCCTTTAATCCTTACTGCAGCTGGAATAAATATGAATGAAATGCCCTACTTGATCAATGCTACACAGACACGTGCTCACGTGGACAGACACATGCTCTGGCTGCTCTCACTACGGCTTTGTTTTGAAGAGGACATCCATGTAAGCCTTGTCCAGATCCAGGGATTTCTTCTGCGCTGCCGCCCGCGGCTGCTCCGGGAGCAGCCTCCGGCCCAGCACAATGTCGTCCTTGCTGCGAGGCCTCTGGGTGCGAGTGTCCTCCAGGGCGCTGTGCACGTCCTGCAGCTTCATCTGCAGCCAGTCCTGCCTCTCCACCGCGTGCCGGTGCTCGCCCAGGTTATGCATCAGCTGCATCTCGCTCACCGACCTTCTCCTGCAGCAAAGGAGAGCAAAGACAGAGGCCCATGGGAGCCCTGCTTGGGCTCCAGAGCTTGGCCCAAAGGCCCAGCTTTGGGAACTTTTGTAAGGAATCACAATACATAGCTGTAGGAGCTGCCTGGCTGATCTGTAAGGCATAGAATGACATCTGGAGAAGAGAGGGATGCAGTAATTACATATCTGTTGTAATCTCAAACTGCTCAGAGTGACCTCGAGAAGAGTTCCAGAGTCTCTTTTCCCAGCCCAGTGCATGAAGAAGGAGTCAGAGCTCTTCATTTCTCGGTCCCAAGGTTGTTTATTGTGTCTTATCTATAAAGTTCCTTCTCCTGGCCTGCCAAGGTCCATTCAGCAAGACAGCCCAAGGCACTCTGCCTCCCCTGGGCAGTGTTATGTCCTAAGAACTTTTTACAATTACTTCCCAATACCTATCACCCATGTTAGACAGTGAGCTTCTACTCTAAACCAATCCAAAAGTGCCACCATCACAGCAGATGATGGAGGCCAAGAAGAAGAAGGAGAAAGGCTGG